TTTCTTCCACTGCAATATATTTTTAGATTATCTAAATTTAAATTTTATTTGACTTCTTCTTCTCTGTCTTTATATGCACTAAATTTCTTTCCTTTGCTTTTATAACATTAATAAGAAAAATTAATTAATTACACATAACATAACATTGCAGCAGTTTTGGCTTAAGGACAAATTCTCTTCCTTTTCCTCTTTGCTTTCAGGTAAATTACCTTAATTTTGTTTTTGTTTTTTTTTGTTGATTATCTTGATTAGATTTTGCATGTGATTTTTACATGGTTACAAATTTTTGGTGATGAATTTTTTTTTTTAATATAACTTGTTTGGTGAATTCTTGGTTCTTATTGCAAAAGTTTTTTTTTTTTTTTGTTTCTGGATTTTATTTAATTTAATCTGTTGGTAAAAGCTTTGTTTCTTTGTTATGGAAATATGTGCATTGTTTTGTGTTGTTTAAATCAATTTCTGATTAATCAAAAAGATTGTATTGTATTTTATTTTATGTTCATGTTCTGCATCATGATCTTTTCCAGAGTGCAAACTCTTTGTATTTTTAGATAATATATGAGAGTTTTTTAGGTTGGAGTTAGGTGCTTTTATGAAGTGGTGTGCTTGCATTGAATATTTGGATTATATATCTCTGTTGAGTCAGGGTCTTTCGAAAACAATCTCTCTACCTCCATGTGGTGGTCGAGGGTCTTTCGGAAACAACATCTCTACCTCCACGTGGTGGTCGAGGGTCTTTTGGAAACAATCTCTCTACCTCCACGAGGTGGTGATAAGGTCTAAGTACAGTTTATCTTTTTCAGACCCCACTTAGTGAGATTTTATTGGATATGATATTGTTGTCAGATTAGATATCTCCCTTTTTGGAAAAGGAAAACAAATACTAGCTTTAATTGTATCATAGTGATCCTAATTTGGCAATATAAGTATGTTGACTTTCTGTGGCGGAGTAAGGATTTTCAATTAGTGGTGTCAGATTATAGAAAAGAAAAGCTAAGGGGATTCATTGTCTACTTTATATACGTAAATTATAACTTTGATTGGTGTAATTTTCTAGAGAAGAGGGTTCGGATGAACCGCCTTGCCCCTCTTAGCTCATCACCTATTGACTTTTCCTTTCGTGCATCTTTCTTTCTATTCATAGGTCGGTTTTGCGCAGATAGATCATTGCCAGGGGAGGTTGGTGCCCCTTGAGGTATGTCCTTCCGGTGCAACTGAATGTATTTATGTAAATCCTGTTCATGAGGTTGATGATCTTTTTTTAGTAGTTAGGATTATATATATGGGATGTTTTGATGGATGGAATTCGGTGGCGTTCAATTTATTATGGATTCTCAGGAAGGAATTTATTTGATGTTTGGACTCAAAAAATTTAGCATCAGATCCGGTAGCTGCATGATAATGCTGTTATAAGAGTCTTAATTAAGTTTCGATCAGCTAGAATTTCTGAGGATCTTTGAATTGTCACGCGGTGAAATGCTGAAGAACTTAAAATGTACATCAGAGAAATGAATTGAAACATCATTAACTAAATATATTTGCATTTAATTTTCAGAAATGGATTTTGTGGAGTTGAAGAGACGGAGCAGCACTTCTAGGAGACTGCTCTTGCTTGCTGGCATTGCTGCGATTTGTTTATTTATATTCAGAAATTCATCGAGTTTTAGTACCTCTGTCAAGGTGATTGTCCAACTGATAATTAGATCATGTCTTAAAGTGTAAACTTCAGTATAGACAACTATTTTATAGTTCAAACTTACAATATGTGTTTTAAGAATCTGTCGGTAATAGGCAATCTAAATTTGTTATTTTCAGTTCTCTCAACACGAACCAGGTGTAACTCATGTGTTAGTGACGGGAGGTGCTGGCTTCATTGGTTCTCATGCGTCCCTTCGTCTCCTAAAGGATTCGTATCGTGTAACTATAGTGGTATGCCCCCCTTTTCATTTAAAACTCCATTCAGGAAAATCATGTTTTGGACGTTTATTTTAACCATTGTTTTTTTTTCCTGATAGGACAATCTTTCCCGTGGAAATATGGGCTCGGTAAAAGTTCTCCAGGAACTTTTCCCAGAACCAGGGCGACTTCAGTTTATTTATGCTGATTTGGGAGATGCTGCTGCTGTATCCTAGATAATTTCTTTTCTTCTTTCGTGTTTTAGCTTCACGGCCTATCTCCATTTTTAGTCTCTCTGTAGCGTTTTTCATATTGCTTCAATTTTTGATCCTTAACCAACACCTCAGGTTAACAAAATCTTTTCACAAAATGCATTTGATGCTGTGATGCATTTTGCAGCTGTTGCATATGTTGGTGAAAGTACTCAAGAACCGCTTAGGTACTTCTCGAATTATGAACCTCAAACTCTGTTGATTGGTCATTCAGTTCGATGCATCTTCTAGCTACCTGAGAATGATAACTTTATGATTTAAAACAAAATTGTTGATCCTAGCTTACAACTAAATGCACAAGTCATAACAAAACTTATTTCCCCAAATTATTCCTTGTTTTCGAGCTCTTCTTATATTTACGTATTCCTATGTAAGAGACTGAAATTTTTTATCCCCTTTGTTTCCGCCTTTTGTCTGTCTTGTAATACTCTTTGAATACTTTGCAGGTATTATCATAACATAACATCAAATACTCTGCTTCTAGTTAAGGCAATGGCAGCACACGGTGTAAAAACACTAATCTATTCAAGTACTTGTGCAACATATGGAGAGCCTGAGAAAATGCCTATTACGGAAGTGACTCCACAAGTCAGTAATATTGATGTTTCATTGGCAGTCTACGTCGTAGTGGAACAAGAGTTTGTTCCATTAGACATTTCTACATCTACCGATATTTGGAATTTTGTTTATTTTAGTTAACTGATTCTACTGTTTAACTGTGAATACAAACAGTCCCCAATAAATCCATATGGAAAAGCAAAGAAAATGGCTGAAGATATCATATTGGACTTCTCAAAGACTTCAGATATGGCTGTCATGATTTTAAGGTTTGTGATTTAACTCGTTATCTTATAAAGGGACAAACAGCTGATCCTTAGCAATGAAGTGCCTTGCGGTGATTGAATTAAACGCATTATCACTATAGGAATGGTTTTGGTTCGCCAAATTGAGCAATGTTCGAGCACCATTCATAATAATGCTGAAATAATTCATGCGATAATAGTATTTCTCCTAGGTCTACTTCATCTCTTTGTACATGTACATTTCTCAATAGTAGTATCTGATGTTCTACCATAATCAGGTACTTCAATGTGATTGGCTCGGATCCTGAAGGAAGGTTAGGAGAAGCTCCGCCCCCAGAATTACGTGAGCAAGGTCGGATATCTGGTGCTTGTTTTGATGCAGCCAGGGGCATAATTCCAGGATTGAAAGTAAGCTTCAATAATTGAATTGCTGGATGTTGCATTTCAAAAACAGGCAGCTTGTTTATGTCAAAACGGAACGTAAAACTAAAATCTTTACTCTTATATGGTGACTGCAGATAAGAGGAGTAGATTACACCACACCTGATGGCACTTGTGTAAGAGACTACATTGATGTGACTGACCTGATTGACGCTCATGTTAAAGCTCTCGAGCATGCTAAACCAAGCAAAGTTGGCATCTACAATGTCGGGACTGGAAAAGGTGCATGGTTACTTTCTACTACTCATAAACTATGTTTTGTTGTATAGCTCTACGAGAGAAGTGATTTTGATGATCGAGTACTCATCATTATTCAATATATTACAGGTAGTTCAGTGAAACAATTTGTGGAAGCTTGTAAAAAGGCAACAGGAGTTGACATAAAGATTGATTACCTTAGTAGACGTCCAGGAGACTACGCTGAAGTCTACAGTGATCCTTCTAAAATTAGACGTGAACTGAACTGGATCGCGAGATATTCACTGGAGGAGAGTTTAGCAATAGCATGGAGATGGCAAAAGGTACACAGAAATGGTTACAACTAAAATAAGTGCAGTTTTGCTAACCAGGTTCTACAAAGAACCTTAACGCGTAGTCGAGGAAAACAGGACTGGTTTCTTGCCAATTCTCACAACTCCTTGTCAATATCAGATATCAAAATCTCATTTTGTTATTTATAGCTTTTACAGTTTGTTAGATGTATACCACCAACAAATAATTTTAGTCAGGCTTTACATATTCTTGTTCATTAGTAGGCATTTTAATTCCCAAGTGTATTACAGTATTGGATAACAAAGTGACAACAAAATTGTTGCTGGGGAAATGAATATATTTTTTGTTTTGTTTTTAAATTGTTTCTTAAAAAACTCTGCCTTCTATAAAATATCTTCGATCAGTTCTTTTGAAGATTTCTGTTGCGGTGCTTCCTATGGTTTACAGGTGAGAGAAGAGAGCATCACATCAAGTCTATATCAATAAACAAAGGTGATTCTAACTAATTATGTATGACCCTTCAACAAACTACGTTCTATCTCATCCCTTTCCAGAACCAGAAACATTTGTAGTTTGTTTTCGGGGGCGCAAAATTTTTTAATCCGCCCTGCCCCGCATAACATTTTTTTTTCATTTTCAACCTGCCCCAAAATCCGCATATCTTTTTTAATATTTTGCATTTCTAGTTAACATTGATATACTAAAATAAAATACATTTTTCATTAAATTATATTAATTTAGTATTTTATTTTTTACAGAAAAACACGTAGGAAATTGAATTATTTTTTATCATTTACTACGTTAAATGCTTTCATAAATAATATTCTATTACTCTTATCACAAATAAAAAATTAAAACTCGCAACCCACTCCGCATTAGTTTTAGAAAAATCCACTACAACCTTAAACCAGCCCCACCCCGCATAGCCTTAACCTGCAACACCCCACGCCTCGCCCTGCCCCATTGCCTTCCCTAATTGTCTACTTATGGATCATCTACACACAGGCTAAGAAAAAGTACGTATCCCTTAGACCTTCCATTCTCATCTCTTTAACACGAGAGATTTCGTAAAAGGGGCAACCAAAGGGAAGCTCAGTAAGTCAGTAACATTGTTGCCTGTATAGATTCACAGAAATTAGAAATGTGTAATCTAACGGCAGGAGTGTATTCAAAGCTAACAAAATTCTATTCTGCAGCCAAAATGGCGCATGAATATGTTCTCAATGTTCTACATTAATTTAGTGCTACAGAGAATGCTGATCAAGTGTAACAACCCATAGCATGTACTATTTGAACCCGAGACAGCCCGGAGAGTGAGGACTTCCAAAGCATGGCAAGAAAAAGCATCCTATGGTTTCACTCAGTATATACTCTACAAATTAAGTTTCCGTCTCTTCCTCTTGGCAATTTGCATATATCTAGCCTTCAATGTATCGTTGTAGGATAATAATCATAACTCATCATGATCCGAGTTTTCATCTGCAGATGGCTTCTCTGCCTCTGAAGCTGTTTGTTCTTTCTGGGAGGTACCCTCCTCAGAAGAGGATTTGGTAGTGTCTGCTTTCTCCTTGCTGTTTTCAGTTTCATTTTTCAAAGGCTTCTCAACCTTAGGCTTTGGCTTTGGTATTTTATTTACCTTGTTAACCTGATCCATGAAAAAGAGAGAGTGACGATCAAGCACTGAAAGATAAAGCTTCATATCTGGAATGAGTTGACTACCAATTTCTTGTTCAACTCTATCACTAGACCAAATTAACAAAGATTTAGATCACGCACCTTGTCTTGAAGATCAAAAACCTTTACATATACTTCTTCAGAAGTAAATGCAGGCTTGTCGGATCCAGGAGTGCTGTAGGAAAAGAAAAGATGTAACAGTGTGTATGAGAAAGGGGATAAAAAGGTGGTAGCAATATTTTCAGTTTCAAAAACAGAATAAAAATTTTCTTAAAACAACATTTATAGAATAGAGTGGACTTTCTCAAACTTGCAAGCCAGACAGTAGGATATATGGAAAATAATTTTATACCCATGACCCAATAATATTATACGGAAATTCTAGGTAATACTATTATGGATGGGGGGGGTGGAGAACCAGCCAGCAAAGTATTATTTTGCCACCAGAAATTGTAGGTATAACAGCTCTAGCCACATCGCACCCTACAGCTAACGCACACGGCATGTGATGGGTCCTTGTCACTGAACAAAATTCCCAGGGGGCAACATCTTAGAACACTCATTTTCTTCATTTTTCTAGTCTCTCCATATATCTTTCATTCTAAGGTCCCAAATGAATAGGGCAAATGTTAAATGAAAAAACTACAAAGTTCCACCTTTCTCCCTCCTAATTCAGTTGAACGAAATACAGAAACAACTAAGAATACACAAACACGTGTATATACAATTTGCAAATGTTCAAATCAAAGTGTATATGCTTCAACACACACACACGTATCCACTAGATTTATTCTTTACAGATGATATATCAGTCAGGATCACTTTCGGGAGTTCAATGGCTCAATATTTTATTGAACAAGATGTTCCAACAGGAAACAACTCGCTATGTTCACTGCTTAAAGCGGCAGTGGAAACAAACAGAGTAAGTACGAAAAGAAAAAGGGGAGAGGCAATAACATGGAAAGTGAACGCACAAATGACCATATGAAAATAGGAAACAGGTAAGAGAAATGAGAAAGAAAAAGAACTTACTTTTTCTGTTCAGCCTCCTTCTGATTTAACCAATTCTTCACTTTCTCAGATTCATTTAGAACCTGCAAACATGACCCTTTTAAAACTTCCCCGGTACGAACATAAAGAAGAGATGCCTTAGCTTCTATTTATAAAATCAGAAATATGCACAACAACTGAAAAGAGTACCTCATCTATTTTTCCCTTAGGAAGCCACGATTTGTTGGTTTCCCATCCACGCACAATCTGAAGGTATCCAAGAAAGAAATAAAAGGTTAACTGCAAGGGTCAAAGGCAATAAAAGATACAAAACTTCCCTAGCTGGCTAACAAGCTTTGAAAATCACAGAAGGATTATTGCAAAGGAAGCCAGTTAATAAGTTCAACATCAACAGTGTAGTTGAATCTTCTACTAATGCCACAATGACTGTTATGGTACCAAATGTGAAATCTCTAAAATACAGATGCAGGTTAATATCAATTTCATCAATATGCCTTCTGCACTTCAAATCTAGAAAATACCCATGGGAATTATCACCTCAAACAGTGCCTCAAAACATACAGCTTATTTTCCCACATCTTCGCTTGAAGAACTTCACTGCCGACTTACAATTCGCTGTGCTGGTGCAAACTAGTAGTTTTTTCTTAAACATACTAATTTCACCATTTCCTTGAGAAAACAAACAAAGAGATACTCCCTCTGTTTCAATTTGCTTGTCTTAGTTTGACTCGGCACGGAGTTTGAGAAAATAAAGAAAAATTTAGAATTTGGTGGTCTTAAACTAAATATGTGTAATGTACCAAAACGCCCTATGAATTTGTGATCTTAAATATGCCATGTATGATATTGGGTGTAAAGAGTAACTGAATAAAGAAAAACATTCTTTTTGAAACAGATCTAACGCAAGACAAACGAATTGACACGGAGGGAGTCCTATTTATGTCCAGCTATCTATAGATACCACCATAACACAAATAAGACACTCTTTCAACTAACAAAATGCACTTCATGATGCAAAGAGTTTGACCAAATAGAGCAGAAGAGTGTTACGGGAACAAGAAATTAAACTTCCTACCTGTTGCACTTCATTAAGGTATTTGCGAGCATGATCAGATGAAGCAGGGCGTGCAGCAAGTTCTTTATGTCTGCATTAAAAATTACATTCAGCATAACTACCGAACCATGTACAAAAGGTAACTACAATTTAGCCTTTGTCTGCAGTTGATACTAGGAGCAGACCTGAAAAATATGGGATCCCCAATAGCTTTCAACTTATCTAAATGTTCTTGAAACTGCTTGGCAGAAGCATCTTCACCATCTGTGTACAACCATTCTTGTACCTGAAAAACTCCATTTAGTATATTTAAGATAAACACATGACAAAACATGGAAAAAAGGAAATATGCAAACCTCATCAAGTTTCTGAATAAAGGACTGGCGCTCTTGACTGGTTGATATTGTCACAAAATCTCCAGATTCAAGCTGGTACATGAGCACATTCACCATTAAAAAAAAGTGATCAATTAATCAGTTCCATGTGATCAATCAGCGAATAAAAATGTTGGTGCAAAACAGTGATGCCACTGGAAGCTAAATGATATGAAGTGCATTACAAGAAGAAAAAGAGACCAAGAAGCTAACAGTGATCACAAGGTTGTAACATCTAGGAAACAATATCACCTGAGCAACAAAGTAAGTTCTGCATCTGTGTAAGCATCAGTTTAACAAAATGATGTTTCAGGAGAATCTTGAAGCATGGGTATGTGCTTAAAAGCTATTGCAAGAAAGATTTGTCTAGCTGCAAAGCCGTTACTCAAAGCTAGAGGAAAAACACATATTAACAAATCGAACAAGTGTATGCAACTGGAACGAAAAATGAGAAAATCAAGAGTACACACAAGGCATTCAAGTTTACAGAGCTGAACAGATCAGGTAACTACATAATCACAGGCATGAGCAAGAGTTAGAGATATAAGCCCTCGAACCTTGTCTCTCGTATCATATATGTATCCTTCCAAGCTATTCTTCAATTCAGCTGTTCTTCTTCTTTCTTCATCTTTTTTGTCCAGTGCTTCCAATTTGCTTTTAGCTTCACTAAAAGACTCTTTTGAAAGAGGTGCTCCTGGCCCAGCAGTCTTCTCATCAATCTACATGAACAAAGAAGTCTCAAGGATAAGACTGGCTAAAAACATCATAACACTACGATATTTCTAAAATAACATTTTTTCCTGGCACGTAATGGAAATCGATAAAGAAGGGGATGCAAAATAGATTCCCCTGCAAATGGATAGGTTTAGAAGACCTTAAGTGGAACTCGGAAAGTCCGTTTCTTCAGCTTCTTCTCTGTAACGGGACTTATGGTGCTAGAATCATTTGCACCAGAATCAGAGGTGTTACTATTAACAATGTCTGGGTTCAACTTTTCATCACTTTCCTCTGTATTGCTGGGGCCACTTTCAGTTGATGTGTTTGCAGAAGCAGAGGTCGAGTTGTCCACTGTCAGATTCTTTACTGGAACTTCGACCCATTCAGTTATTTCAATAACAGCATCTGCTCGATCTAATGAAAATATTCCACTTCTACTAAGTGAGAAATGTAAATTAGCCTTGACTGGGGCAGAAAGATTCCGTGATGCATACCTAAAAAAAGAAAAGCACAAAGCTCAGAATAATAGATCACCAAACACCATCTGATCCAGATATCAGTGATTCTTACTTTTCGCTAGCATCAGTAAGACCTGACACTGCGTACTGAGCAAATGTACGTGAAGTAGTTCCAGGTGGCAAGAAGTCATCGCTTTCATACGCTAGTGAAACTTCAAAATCCTTCTTGTGAACAATAGATCTGAACATCTGCAGATCAATCACACAATCGGACATAGAACTGTCATGTGTTATGTATGTTCTTTGATAGCCTATTGTTCACCAACAATATACAGACAAAACAAAATTCTGATATACCTTGCTAGGCAGTTTCTTCATACGTGGTATGGTCAACTGTTTCGTGCTTTCATCTTTAGGAAGGTCCGGACCATCTACTTCAATCACATATCCATATGGAGAACCATCAATCATTCCCAGTTTACGATTCAATTTGATTCCATCACTTATATTAGCAGCATGCAATGAGGCCCCAAGTGCAATTGCTTCATCGGAGTCCAAGTGTCTGTCCAGTTCTTTCCTTCCAAGAAATTCCTGTAGCTTAGCCTGCAAGCAAGGAATGTAAATTTTATTTTCAAGAAAACAATCAGTGTTCTGACAATTCCTAAATCGATCATGTTACAAGCAATGATGTCGAAATCGACATTGACTCGACTGCAAGAAACTCCACCAACCAACAAGAAAATATTTATTTTATCCTAATTATATGTAATTAGTGCCGGAAAAATGAGCTCATATTTTGATGACCCGCCTAACCCGCCCATATTTTAACGGGTTGGGTGAGTGATTTTTCACATGGGTAAAATATGGGTAATATATGAATTAGTCAAATGGGTTAAGCTTCTAACTTTTATTCACTCAAAATTCATAATATCACTCTAAATAGTGTAACTTCTCTTCCTTTTTATGTTATTCTATAGAACTAACTATTCTTCTTTATAATTGAAAAGGTGAAGTCTTTGACACTCCAAAAATATATAATTCAAATGTATGTTTCTTTTGTTAATTATAATACATTTATTTATTTAATTTTATATTGAATAATCAATAATAGTATAAAATAAGCAAATCATGTATTAAAATTGACATTGCTTTAAGATCGTTAAGCATGTTTTAGTCCTAAAATACAAATATTCATTTACTTTGAAATTAAAAATATTTTCATCTTGTCATTACATAAATCTATTTTATATTGAATTCTTTTAATGATACAATAAAACTAAATGAAGCACGTTCAACATTTTTCATCTAAAAAAGACTAAAAAATCTTCTCCAATCAATTTTTAACCATATCAATTATGGGTGGGTTGAATATTACCCATTTTATGTTTGCCCATTTTCAACCCGCCTACATTTGACCCAACCCGCCCATTTTCAACCCGCATATATGTAAATCATAAGCAACCAAAAAATTACCTTGTGTTTACAAGTATATGACAACTGCAAATATGTATATTTTTACTGTGGTTAGACCTTAACTTTGTTAAGAAAAGAGCAGCGACTCAGACCTGCAATTTTGGCACCCTAGTGGCACCTCCAATCAACTCCACTGCATAAATATCTTCAATTTTCAAACCAGAATGAGTAAGAACTTCCTTTAATGGTACAAGAGCTTTTTCCCACAAATCGGCACATAACTCTTCAAACTTTTCACGGGTTATTGAGCTCCTGCGACAAAATAAATTCCTGATGAGCGAATAAATGTAAAACAAGTGAAAAATACTACTGAATATCACTCTTCCGCCTCTTCCAGATGTGTAAGCATGCCAGGGCATACACATAGTCACACATAAGAGGAAGCGTACTCCTATATGTATTAGATAGAAACACTATTCATGGGGGTAGAACTTTCTTATCAAAGACGGAATTGCATTTGATCATGTCAACTAGAAATAAACATAATCTGTTGTCATATTAACTAAAAATATGAAGAAAGACATGCAAACATGGGGAAACACAAACGAGAAACAAACAATTTACAGAGCACTCCAGTTTGATGTATTTCCCCATAGAATCAGTTTTAAATTAATCACATAAGTTATACAGCACAGAATAAGAGAGAATGCAAGAGCATCAACTTTCAACTAAACCTCGCCCTCAAGCCCTATTTCACCTTTCACATATGCCATTTTGATTTTATTTAAGAATAGAAACATTTTCTTCATTATTTTGTTCGCCTATCAAATTCTTTACTCTCTCATAAGCTGAACAGTTGATCCTTCACCTCAACTACATGTGTTAATCATTATTACTTGCATATCATGTTAAATTTGAGTAACCAAAAGTTCTGAAAAAGTAAACAAAATAGAAAGAATCACAGGAACCAAAAAATGTAAAATCAAGTAAAGTTGCTTTTGAGTAATCCTCCCATAGCAAGATCAGCTTGAGAAATAACATGGCAGCAGAAGTGTTTGACCAAACCCTATCCTAGGAATTGGATCGATGTCAATTTAATGAGGCTTACTTCATGCACAAAGTGCTAATTCACTGATTTGGGGTTAAGGGACGAGTGAGTGTAACCATATAGGGTTACATTTCTATCTAAGCAAGAGATTTCTTTGACCAATTTTTCTTGCTTAGCCAAAGTTGATATTAGACCTAGCCTGGTCATATCTCTGGCAAGCTACAGTGGTTAAGGTGCCAAAAGTCCTGGCCCCTATGTGCCGATTAATAATCCATCTCAGGGTACATGCACTCATCCAATGTACCCTAAATTTAGTGAAAAGCTGAAAAAAAGAAAAGAAATTGCAACAGTAATGCTTAAGTTTTAAAGAAGCAGTTACAGCAAGAACATATTCCTTTGAAAAGCAGCTCATCACAAGCAAAACATGAATTAGCATAGCTTATGGGTATACAGAACTAAGTCTCTCACCCAGAATCAGCATAAAGTTTCCCCAAGCCTTACATATAGTAGACAGGATTATTCTGATCATCTTTCTCTGGATAAGGTGAAATCATTCACTTATTAACAGCACATAGCAGAGCTAGAGATAAATTTCAGAACTAAAACTACCAATTAATTGATGAACTACAAGAAAACAAGAAAGCTTGTGGATAAAAATCAAGCGACAATAAACTTACCTAAAATCCCGATCATCATAAATAGATTCAACTGAAATTGGAGCTGCTGTGTTTGCACTAAGAATTTCCTTTGTTCTTTTGACTTGCTTCTTCAACTTTGCCATTGCCTTTGGAGACTTCCTAATGTCAACCCCATTTCCTACCTGTTTATTGAACTCATCTGCAAAGTGTTCCACCAATCTTAGTTCCATATGTTCTCCTCCCAGTTCCGCATTCCATCTAACATCCTTGACCTGAAATTGGTTAGCTGATACAGTCTTCCCGAACTCCTTAGTGTTATAAGCAGAGAAATACACCAAGGCAGCATATGTACTACCCGCACCCATATCATAGAAAATCACATGCCTTGAACCATTCGAAAAATCTTTATCAATCCCATACTGCAACGCTGCACCAGAATGTTCATTCACAAGCGCCAACACATTAATACCAGCCAATTCCGCAGCAACAAGCAGCCCTTTCCTTTCCGCTACTCCCATATACGGAGGCACAGTCACCACAGCATCTTTCACCGGTGTTCCCCTAGTATGCGCTTCCGCCAATCCAAGAGCATACTTGAACAACATCGCTACCAACTCCTCCGCCGTAAAATTACCATTTTCAGTTTTAAAAACCGCCACATTCCGCGATTCCTCGGGAGAAATGTCGTAAGTCAGGTAAAGAGATCCTAGGGTTTTGGAAACGTGGGGAAAGGGTTTTGATATTAGATCACGGAGATGAGAATAGACCTTGTTTGGATAGCGAGCGACGATTCCAGAAGCTTCTTCACCGATGAGGCGACTCTCGGAATGAAATGCGACGAGTGAGGGAGTTTTCCTTTTGGACATTTCGTTAATCGCTATAGAGATTGGAGGTTGTCCGGGTTTTAGGTTAACCACGGCGACTTTGAACCATTCTGATCCCAGATCTATGCTAGAAACTGCAGATTGAGATGGAATCGGATTTAGCAAAAACAGGGATAGAATTATCCCTATATGGAACAACATATTCTTCGCCGGCATCGGAAAATCGGAGTTAATCGGACAAAGATCTCCGGTGAAAATTCAAAAATTGGGACGACGAAATTTCAGCAGCAGGAGAAAGTGTAGGGTATATATACCGTTGGGGCTACAGGTGGAAAGTGCATCTACTGACCAATAAGGATTTGACATGTGGAACAATGTACACGTGGCGTGATATGTGACGCCGGGTGTGTTGGTTTTTGCTGTTGGCGTGTAGAATTTTTGAAGTTTCTGGCGAGTTCCCATTTTAAATTTTTTTTCTGGGGACAAATTTGGAAAAGTTTGTCGGGTAAAATTATCACTAGTTTGTGGATTTTAGTTTGATAAAACTGTAAATATCCCAAATATTAAGAGCAAATTTCATGCAAGACACTGGTATATGTGGCTTAACAGATAGTTTCAAAAATTACATATTTTTATTCGAGTTATTATATTTGGAATGTGAAGATTGAGATATGTTATCTTTTACTCGATCACTCTTTATCTCGTTCCTCCCCTTTTGTGTTTATGATTACGTATTATGTATATATGCATTCAATATCAATTTCTAAGAGTTATATTTGATAAAATATAAATATATGTATCGGACTATTTATGCATAAGCTATGAGTTTATCCATGTAGCCAGTATCAATTTTGAAAGCATGTATCTGTGAATGTATTCGTGTATCTAATATCAAATATGCAATAATATATCAAGTGTATATGTTCATAAATACACACTTAGAAGTACTTTTCCAACTTACACAACCAAATATTGACTTGTAATTACATGATCAAGAGAATGTAGAAGAAGAAGATAGAGAGAAGAGAAGGACAAAGAAGGATTGAAGAGAAGAAACACGCAAGAGGGAGGACGAAAGAGGCGAGAGAGAAGATTAATAGGGAGGAGAGAGTACGAGCAAGAGAGGGTTTATGCAATCCGCTAGAAAATACTGTGTGATTGTATAATTTTTAAAAAAAATTATGTATAGTTTAACCAATATACTATAGATGTTTGATGATATATGTAATTTTCTGTAATATTTATTGAATTTCAAAATTAATATTCATGAAAAATGACAATATAAACTCCCAAATTGTTTTGAAACGCTAGATTATAATATAACAAAACAAATAAAAGACTTACAGTGAAATTCTTGTAAAATCAACAATAAAAAATTTCATTTTGTATATGTCAAATCATGAATTAATATGTTTTCAGTTTTTTGTTTTTTTTTCTAAAAAAAAAAAGAAATCTCGATTATGTCGTTTTTTATTTTTGGAATATTTACAAAATTGAATTCCAATGCTATGCTATTAAATAAGTGAAGAATAATTCTAAAATTAAGAAAACGAATATACTAAATATAAGATCTTCCAAGTCTTCGGATGAAAATTCCTAAATATTCTCTACTAAAATTGTGTCAGGCTTATTTTCAAGCTATATCTTCTTCTTGTTTAATTTGTATTGCAAATACTCCACATAATTTGATTCTCTTGATGAATAATACTAAAAAGTGATTCAAAATTGATAGGACTTATTTTTGTGTAAGAAAAACTTTGTTACTTCTTTTTTTAAAATATTTTTTCTCAATCAATTGATAATATTTAAATACCTTTATATGAAAGAATATAATAAAGAGAGAATGCTCAGATTCGTTGCAATAAAAGATGTGCATCTTGAATTGACTTTTATTTCATATTTATAATTTGATTTTCTAGATTAAGGCCTCATTTATTTTCGTTAAAATTGAAATGTTTCAATCTAAATGTATATGTGAATATTAAAGAGTAAATTAAGATTTAGAAATATGAATCTAAATATTAAGATATTGCATAATTTGAATATGAAGTACGTAGGACATTTTATTTTCTCAATAATGTATAAATTTAATCTTTGATCATATAAGATTGAAGTGTCAAAAATACATATAAATTATTGAGAGTAATGTTTTCAAAATGTTTTTGGGGCGAGTCTCGGAGCGGAGCGTATCAAAAACGCTCCAGGGTGTAAATTAAAGGCGTAGACGTAAGTCCCAATCATAAAAACGTAAGTTAAGGGCGTAAAAAACGTAGGCTCGGGCGTTTTTGATTTTTTAAACCTTTTTTGCTTTAAATTATATTTTTTATTTGGTGTAATGATATTTGTCAAATAGTAATTATAGTACTTTTTTTCTTCATTGTTGATTATTAATATTTATCTCAAATATAATTTCTATATATTATAGGTTATTTATAAAAATTTGTTTCTAAAATTGTTGAAAGGTTTACTTTTACTTACTTTATTAGTAATAAAATTATAAAAACCAAATATATATGAGACTACGCCCGGTAGATCCATGGACTTACGCCCTGTATCTCGGGGCTTATGTCTCGCCCTCTGCAGTACAAAACGCCTTGCCTCACGCCCCCACCTTTTAAAACGCTGCTTGATAATATGAGTTTTATACCTAAATTATCACTCACTCTATTGATAGGGTCAGGGGCGTCTCAACAAGTTTGAGGCCTAATGCCAAACTTCATGGTGAGACATTATTTTATTAGTTGTCTTAAATAAATTGAATAGTTATAACATACTCAATGTAATCTTACAAGTGAAGTCTCGAGAAGGTAGGATGTATGCAGATCTTATGAAATAAGGATGCACATAATGAAATTTTTTAATGAAAAAATATAGGAAAAATGCACAAGTACTCCCTCAACCTATGCTCGAAATCCCAAAGACACACTTATACTATACTAAGGTCCTATCCCCCTTAACTTATTTTAAAAGTAATTTTCTACCCTTTTTCGACCTACGTGGCACTAAATTGAAAAAAAAAGTCAACCAGCGTTGGGCCCACAAGGTAGTGCCACGTAGGCCGAAAAAGGGTTGAAAATTATTAATAAAATAAGTTCAGGGGCTAATAGGACCTTAGTATAGTGAAAATATGTCTCTGAGATTTCAGTCATAGGCTGAGGAGGTATTTAGGCATTATCCCAAAAATATAATATAAAGTTAAAAATAATTTTAAAAACCCAACTCACAAATGGAAAAGGGAAAAGATATAAATTGTCCCTTAAACTTGTCTCGAAAAGTCAGTTACACGTTTAAATTATCATGATGATTGTCACGACTGGAATCTAGACCCCAGACGAGACCGGCGTCGTTGACCTCTCAGAGGTCGCAAACAAGCCTACTTACGTCATTCTTACTTTATATAGGTTAATTTTAGCGGAAAATTTGAAATTTTTTATTTTTAAATATACTTGCTAAACTTTTTTATATATATATTTCGTAATCGTTCATCATCAACCATCTAACATTTAAGAGATAAGAAACTGAAAGAAATAATTCATTAAGTATTAATTGTATATCGGTCAAAATAGCACCAATACAAAGTCTGAACCAAAACAGGAAAGAAACGCTAGTGGAACATGCTCCACTAGCTCAACTCTAAAACTACGCTAGAATGTAAAACAGTAGCATCCTCGAAAGCGTGAGGACCTACAAAACTCTGGATGAATGTTGACGTCCGGATAGCTGCAACAACGAACATGTAGCTCTACCGTCCACCTGTGCCTGCACCTAAAAGTAGATGTTTGTATGGAATTAGTACACACTTGTACTAAGTATGGGCATATGCAAGCACACACCAGGGACATGCATGAGAAAGAATAGCTCTTTCCTAACGACATGATTTTTGAAAGTCAAGTCAGTGGACTTGCCAAATTGAGATTGAGAAAGTTATGCCATGAGAGTGACATGCATCATTATAATTATCGTATGACACACAACACATGATATCTACATATAACACATAACATATAACACATAGTTTCTTTCATATTATTCATTCATATGCCATGAGACCTTGTTATCATGGACTTGACCTTAATACTTTCCAAAATGAGGGCTCAACATATGGGACCTCAAATAGGGAGCCTTCTTTAGCAAACACAGAGTCTGCTTCATTCATTCATACGTACCTCATTTCAGTTCATTCATAGGCCAGTGTAAACACCAGCTATACCTAGGATGTAGTTTAAGATTTTCATCGGGTTTGTTGTGCAATGATCAGGAATAACCTAATGTCATTACCTGAATCTAGCTCACCTCTTGATTATCCTATCCTAACACCTTCAGTATCATTCATTTCTTTATATGATTCATTTGAGGCTGGCCTCATTCATTCATAGAGAACTTTATCTTTAACCGACATAAATCATGTAAGCATCATGAAATGCAGTGTCTCCCCCACACCAAAAATAGGTGGAATCCCCGGTCAAAGTGAATCAATAACATGCTAGCATATATGGGAATTTAACCCCGCCAGATCCCTATATTGGCAGTACAGGTTTGAAGACTAGGAGATGTATGGAGACCCATACCCGGCAAGCCGGACAGTCTCATCTCATGAGAGTTACGTTAACCTTCGCCCTTCCCGAAAGAAGGCATCACCACTCATAGCTATCCTATTGGTGCTCAGTATAAAGTTTCATTACATTCAACTCATACATCATGGAAGTTGGCTTCTAGTATGAGGACATCATAGCTCAATAGATGATTTCTCATCTTATCACTAGTATTAAGGTTTTAAACTCAATATTTTCATTAGAGTGTTCATAGAGACCGGTCTCTTCATTATCTTACACTCTCATTGGTGAGTACGTATTGGTAACATTTACTTAGGCTCATTTGAGAGTGCTCTCATCATATACATTAGTCTCACATCATGATTATCACCACATTCTTCATTATTAGTACCTCTTTTTTCATAGTTAGTCACCTCTTATTACGTGAATGTTCATTTCTTCATTTCATAATTCATCACACCATATGCCAATGCACTTGGCCATTTAGTACATCATAGGTTCACTTCTTTTTGAACATATGTTAGACTTATGTGTCTATACGTACAAGCCATGGGGCTTCATTCATAGTTCGTTTCAGTGATTCATATCTTCCTAAGATTATGTAGTGCAAGACTTATGCATCTTGTAGATATGCCAAGATATTGATTTTGATCTTTAGAGGCAACATTCATTAAATATTTGTTTACGCATGACTTATGTGTCAATACGGAATTGGGCAAGGGAATCCGATTTCGAATCCCTTGAACAACACTAAATCTTATTTTAAACTTTGATAATTACATTTTTTTAGATTTGGGAGACCCTAGTTCGATTCCCATCAATCCCATAATATTTCTTTCTTGTTCTCCTCCCCTTTTTCGTTTTAAGGCAAGGAGGTTGTGGGTTCAATCCCCCACAAGCTCATTATTTTTTCTTTTAATTTATTTCTTAACTTTCTCACCTATCCAAGAGATTGTGGGTTCAATCCCCACTCTCCACATTTATTTTCTCCTTTATTTTTCTCCTCACTCTCTCATTTATTCAAGAGGTTGTGGGTTCAACCCCCACTCTTCATATTTTATTTTCTCATTTATTTTTCTCCTAACTCTCTCATTCATTCAAGAGTTTGTGGGTTCAATCCCCACTCTCCACATTTTATTTTCTCCTTTATTTTCCTCCTAACTCTCTCATCCATTCAAGAGGTTGTGGGTTCATTCTCACTCTCCACATTTTATTTTCTCCTTTATTTTCCTCCTAACTCTCTCATCCGCTCAAGAGGTTGTGGGTTCAATCCCCACTCTCCACATTTTATTTTCTCCTTTATTTTTCTCCTAACTCTCTCATCCATTCAAGAGGTTATGGATTCAATCCCCACTCTCCATATTTTATGTTTACTTCTTTATTTTCATGATTTTTAAAATGGTGAGGTCACGGGTTTAATCCTCCATGACCTCACTTGTTTTAATTTATTTTTTTTCTACATTTTGAACCTTCTTTGCTGACCGAAAAACATCAATAGAAGCTGAAAATTTTCTTTTAATTTTTTCAGCATCCTTTCATCTAGTTACACCTTAGTTCTTAGGGGAATTTCGTAGTGCATTTAGAACGTTTTAGGTGCGTCTTTATGTATTCATTTAGTCAAGACATTATCCCTCAAACCAGCCACATTTCAACTCATATGAACATCACATTTACATCAACACGTGTACATGAAATATAAAGAACTATCATGTCATTTCAAGTCCTAAACCATGAACAATAGCCACGGCAACAGACACATACACACGTAGTTACATTTTCGGAAACATCAACATAAGTCACATAATTCCAAACATACATATAAACACATAATCATTATGAAAACATGTTTCATCCCTAGTTTTCTACCAGCAAACATAATCAACCTATGATTCAATGGGAGCTAGTGACAGGGACATGCAATGGGGAACAATCCTAGTTTTCGGAATGAATATTCTGAACCTTAAGGGGTCTCTTGGGAAAGGGACCAAGAGAGAAGAGAACTCATACCTTAATCGATGTTCAAATGCTGATGTTGCTGCCCGAAAACTCCTCCAAACCACTCCCAATTTACTTCAACGTATACCTCATTCAACGAACCTCTCTTAGCCTTGACGTTTTGATTACTTTTTCTTTTACTTAAAATTTCTTGTGAATTCTTCAAGTGTGGTTAACTCTTGATGTAATTTCAGTTCTTGAAATTATTTTTGGCAGAAACCAACGTGAGAGAGATATATGGAGAACGTGAGAGAGAGAGAGAGAGTGTGTGTGTTATTAGGATTAGGAGACTAAATTCAAGACTTAGTCAAATAGGATTTAAATTAGATTAATACAAATCTGATTTATTTTAATTAATGCGTGAAAGGACCATTATGCCCTTAAAATTTCAGATTTTTAATTAATAATTAAATCACCTTAGGTACCTATTATTTAATTTAATTATTTTTCGAATCGTTACACTGACCTATTACACACTTTTATTATTTAAGAGTTAATTAATTTACCCCCTAAAACTGACATGGAAAAAAATAAAAAATAAACTAAAAAGATGCGCGTCAGATATAAAAGTTCAAGTAAAAAAAATCAACCTCCCCGCCTCTCATATCCTTCTTCTCACCCCACCATCTTTATCTTCTTACCCCATCAATTATTCTCTTCATCTTCACAAGATACCCATTAAAAATTAAAATTATTACTTGTTCAATAAAAGAAAAAGAGAGGAAGAGAGATAATTCTTGAGGAATGAAACATAAAAAGCATTTCTTAAAATTTTCTCTGACGGAAAGTCTGTACAGGCTTACGATTAGATTGTATCGGTGTATTGAATTTTTACCAATAATATCTTGTATACTATATTACCATACAGGAAAAAAACTAAATTAATTTACAGAAAACCTGAACATGTCTAAATTGATATGTTCTTTGGAATTATGACATTTTTTTCTAGAGATCTCTTAACAACATGACTACAAATTAAACAATAGTTTTTACTAGGGAAGAAAAGAGAAAAGAAAGTGGTGCAAGACGATTAAATTGACTTTTAAATAGTAAAGTGGTTGATCATGATTTTTCCGGTGAGATGAGAGGTGAAGTGAGTGAAATTTAGTGATGAAGAAGATATCTATAATTATTTTTAAAAATTAGGAGTTAATTAGGAGTTAATTAGTTTGAAATATAGTTAATAAAAGAAAAGTTAATTAATACAAAAATAAAACAAAAATGATAAAAAAAAATTATAATTTATGTCATGGAGCTGACGTGGTAGCGAGTATAATACACCACACATTATGTGAGTGGTGTTACATACTTCAGGGTGGTATTAAATTCACTTTTAAGTAATAAAGGTGTAATAGGTCGTTATGATAGTCTAAAGGGAAAAAGGATGAATATACCCCCAAACTTTCGTAAATGGTACGTATATGCCCCTCGTTATACTTTTAGAACACCAGACCCTTACGTCCAAATTTTGGAACGTATATGTCCTTTATACTAACGGAGATACACATGTCTCAATCTTAACAGTCCATCTAATATTTGTTAAATTTCTTATCCAAAATTAAAAGACCATCCATATTAATTTTAAAACCCACCCAAATACATAATGCCCAACCAAAAACCCCCAAATCAATAATGTTTTTTATTTTGGAAGGCAGTCCAACACCAAATCGCAGAGAGAAGACACCATCACCAAAATGTCGAAGAAAAATGACTTGAATCGCCGAAAAAAAACAGCATGAGTTCAATCTTCAAAGGAAAAAAGAAGAGGAAGAAAAACTAGCGAAGAAGTTACAAGCAAAAAAGAACAAGATGAAGGTGGATGGTAAGGACAAGAAGAAAGAAAGGTGGTAATGGATTTCAAGTTGAGAAGAAAAAATTGAAGACAAGGATGACTCCATTAGCCAAAGCTAAAGTTGCACAAGCAATGGAGATTGAAAAATAAGATTTTTGTTGTAATGTATTCAGGTGCATTTGGTAACTGAAATTGAAGTTGTTTATGTCTTTCTTCTACAATTTGCAAAAAAGACTTAATATTTAATCATGTTTCATGTTGCTATTTATATTCTTTGGTGTGTTCTTAAAAAAAAGTCTTCCAACAGCTTCCGGTGAGATTTGATCAAATCTAATACAAAGGTATGATGATGGTAATGAGTAAATAATTGATTTAGTCAAAGAAAAGGTTAAATGGATCAAGAAACATGTGAGGAAGTTGAAGAGAAAATAGAGGATGCTTTGGGGATGAATATGGTTGGATGGGTCTTCCTCTCATGAAGTTGATGAGAAATTGGAGGATTTAGTGTTGACTGTTGAGGATGATTTGAGGATGAAGATTGGGGGAAAGATGCTATTAAAAAATGCTTAAATTGCTTAATTTGATATTAAGTGAATTAATTTGGGAGATTTGGGTTAATATTTTTGGGTTGTGGATATAAGTATTTGGGTGGGTTTTTACTTTAATTTCGGGTGGATTTTTCAATTTTAAGTAGAAGTTTAACAAATATCGGATCGGCCATTAAGATTGAGAAACGTGTATCTCCGTCAGTGTAAAGGATACGTATGTTTTAAAATTTAAATGGTAAGGGTACTGGTGTCCTAAAAGTATAACGAGGGATATACACATACCATTTATGAAAGTTTGGGGATATATTTGTCCTTTTTCCCTAGTCTAAATGTGTAACTGATTTTTTGGGATAAATTCAAAGGGCAATTTGTGCATTTTCAGTATATATAATGATATTGAGATAGTTACTTTGAATTTGATAAGTTGATATAATGTCATGATCCAAAACGAGTTATTAATGGCACCACACTTAACCTTCTAGGTAGACAAACCAACGAATTCAAATCCAACTAATGTTATGTAACATTCCAGAAAAGTAGTAAACTACACTAGAGCCTAATGTAAAATTAGTAGCCTAAACTAGAGCCTTACGTGAGAATTTTAAAGCTTGTTGTGTGGGTTAGAATAATAAAATGGTTTCCCCTACTTAGGATGAGGGGTTTAGAGGTTAAACGTTAAGGTATGACTCCCCAAGGATCAACCAAGGGTCTTTGAGGATTACCCTAAAGCCTAACCCCAAAAACTGCCCAAATCAAGTGAGCCACGGATAGGACCTACAGGGCACAGGTCCATCCATGTCTCATGGGAGAGGCTCATGGGTCAATACCCCAAGTGGGAAGCTTCAAACCACCACATGCGGACCTGCAGGACACCCCGTAGGCCCACTCACGAACCGTGGATCGTGCATGCAAGTCTGCCTAAGGTGAGGGTTTTTATGTAAATTCCTAATTATGTTTGTTTAATGTATAGTAATTTTATATTGTTTTAATAGACATATATAAGACTTTTTTAAGTCATTAACCACCTCACATATCTCATAATCCCAAGACCCAAAGTCTATAACCAACTTTTTCCTAATTATGTTTGTTTAATGTATAGTAATTTTATATTGTTTTAATAGACATATATAAGACTTTTTTAAGTCATTAACCACCTCACATATCTCATAATCCCAAGACCTCAAGTCTATAACCAGCTTTTTCCCAAAATCTCCTCTAGACTCCAAGGAAGAAGATGAACAATGAAGCTAGGGGTGAAGAATCAAGATTTTTCCCCAAATTCGTGGTTAATCTTCTATAAGGTATGATATATTTTCATCTATGGGTATCCTTCACCCATAGCGCCCTTCCAAAACCTTCAATTTCGAAACTAGAAAATTCATAAGTTAGAATTTGACTTCAATCTCATGGAATCTTTTCAAATTCGTTTTAAATGATTGAATTATGTTTGTTTATATATATATATATATATATATATATATATATATATATTAATGATTTTATATGATTTTAAGTTGGATTATTCAAGAATTCATGAATTATACTATTTTTCCAAATCAGATCTTAAAGTGTAGGTATTGATTGATGAATGTAGATTACTACAGAATTATGAATGTTATGAGTTGATTACTTGAATAATGTTATTATCCATGCCTAATGTAGTAGTTCTACGTGCGTTGATTGAATTTGATCCATTGGTCCTTGAAAGTCAAACTATGAGAATTTTGTATAATCATGATGCTTATGTACATGCTTTGTGAATACCTAGGAGGAATGTGATTATGACTATAATGTAATTGTGATGATGTGGAAGGATTTCCTCACCTAAATGAACCGGTAGGTCAATGACATCCTTTTCACGTGTGAATAAAAGTGATCTTGATTGATATATCTTGAATCGGTAGGCTAAGGGCATCCCTTTCTTGTGTAGCTAAAAGTTATCTCGACTTAATGAACCTTGAATCGGTAGGCAATGTCATCCTTTTTATAAATGACTAATGAATCATTTTAAGGATTTGTATTGGATCGGTAGATCAATGGTATCCCTTTGATTATGAGTCAATGAACTATTATAATGATAAATCTTGAATCGGTAGACCAATGGTATCATTTTAATGAGGATTCAATGAGTTATTTTAATGATGTACCTTGAATCAGTAGACTTATGACATTCCTTTTATGTGTAATGATGTACCTTGAACCGTTAGACAAATGACATCCCTTTTCATGTGTAATAATGTTAAAAGAGAATTTACGACTCCATAGAAATTTAATGCTTAGCACCGAGTAGATATTGTGAGGTGAAAGCTCTTTCTATGTAAGGTCGAGTTTCTAGTGACAATAGTCTTATCCCATAACTATGTGCCCACATAGATTATTAGCTAGTGGATTCACCTAAGCTAAAATGTTATCAGCTCTACCTTAGGCAAGTGAACCAACTATTTCCTGTGCGGACCATACCGAATTCCATGATTTACTCACATGGTCTATATTGGTTAGAGATTCTTCCATCATGAACAAAAATGTGAGTTATGCACTATGGTTACTCAAGAAGCTCTATGAAGTGTGGGTGGGGGTATGAGACTTCATCCATGCATTGTATAAGTAGGCTTTGAGAATAGTTATGATGTGTTCCTCAAATGTTATAATGTCTTGTGAAATGAATACGCTTATAATGATGTTATCGAGAATGTGGATATGAGAGCTAATGTAAACATGAGTGCTTAACTTAGATTGTTGTTATGAGTTGCTTTTCTTGATATGACCTATTAAATGTGAATGTTTCTTTGTCTAATGAGTATTAACTAAAAATGAGAATAAAGAATGATAAGTATGATTATGGTGGACTCAAAGTGGTACTTAGTGTAGATGGAATTATGAGATTTTTATTTATACATTACATAAATATAACTTAGGATTACTTATGAAATGATTCTATTATGCTATGATGGTTTATATATTGAATATGCTTGTGGCTTATGCCTTCATACTAAAAGTACATGATGATTTTCAAACTTGGTAGATCATGATTTTCAGCTAAATATCCGTTTTAACTTGTTTTCAAAGATTTTTATGCATGGCTATCATACTTAGTGCATGTTTTTACTAACTCATATTTTCTACATTTTTCTTTAAGTGTAGGTTTAAGTTCTTAAGGTGATCTTCTATTGGTTCAAGCTTAGATTGACTATTCTCCTAACTTGTGGTGAGTCATCAAGATTCGAGAAATCATTAGTAGTTTCTTTCTAGTTATTTTATGGTTTGAATTATGTGAAAGGATTGTGCCTCTATTTTTTGTTCAAGGATTGTATTAGATGGCTATTTGAGACAAGTTAGACTTTCGCTTTCTCTTATAAAAGACTTCGATTTTATGGATAAAGTTTTAAATTTTGCATCATTTCTTATATCTTATGGTGTAGTATGCTAAGGGCTTGTATGAGACTCCTTCGAGTTCAAGTAAGTTATGTTACATCTAAGGTGTACCTCTGGGTCGTGACATATTAATTGTTCAGCTTACGAAATACTATCGTAATGTGAAAATTCAAAACTTATTAATGTAAAAAATGAAATTCCACTAGATTCTATTAAATATCATTTTTCAAAACCTAAAAGTCATCACACTAAGGAAATTTAATCCAAAAGTACCAAGTCTAATAGACAAGAGTATTAGAAACACCATAATAGATAAATAAAATAGTTTGTGTTCGAAAACTAGGGACATCATGTCATGACCAAGAAAATTCAACACGAGCTAAAATGACTATTCACCCTAGAACCCGATATGTTGGAGACTGGATAGAGCTAAGGGCGAGTAGAAGTTGTTAATACGCTTATTGCACTCCACAAAGGCAAACAAAAAAAATACAAGTGTTACTACAGGTGATATCATCGACCGACTCAAATAGAAACCAATATGCGTAAAGTAATAGTATGAAATCAACTATAACACTTAGCAGGTGACAAACAACATGAACAAGTGACAACAGTATTATAACAAGTATGTAATAGTCACAATATTAAAAACACACTTGAGGACTCATGCATCCACACCGCACAGTCACGCTCTTTAGAGAAATGACATTTTTTGAGATTGAGTACATTAAGTTATTTTAAGATGTTTTCCTTTAATATTGCCGTGCATAACGTGACACCCGATCAAATCATATTGTGTCGGCTCGTAGCATCTGATCCAACAATCTAGTTAATTATTCATTTTGTATTATTACTTTCCACTTCATGAACAATATTTTATCAAGACTTCTTTATTCAATGCATCACTTTGATAGAGCGAATTCAAGATTAAGGAGTTCGGAGTCTTGGGATTTTCGATGACACATAAATTTTCAAACCACAACAATTATGTAACGACCGGAATCTAGACCCCAGACGAGACCGGCGTCGTTGACCTCTCAGAGGTCGCAGACAAGCCTACTTACGTCATTCTTACTTTACATAGATTAATTTTAGCGGAAAGTTTGAAACTTTTGATTCTTTAATCATACTTGCAGAACATTCTTAACATTTCGTAATCGTTCATCATCGACCATCTAACATTTAAGAGATAAGCAACTGAAAGAAATAATTCATTAGTATTAATTGTATATAGGCCAAAATAGCACCAATACAAAGTCTGAACCAAAACAGGAAAGAAACGCGAGTGGAACATGCTCCACTAGCTCAACTCTAAAACTACGCTACAATGTAAAACAGTAGCATCCTCGAAAGCATGAGGACCTACCAAACTCTGGATGAATACTGACGTCCGGATAGCTGCAACAATGAACCTGTAGCTCTAGCGTCCACCTGTGCCTGCACCTAAAAGTAGATGTTCGTATGGAATTAGTACACACTTGTACTAAGTATGGGTATATGCAAGTACACACCAGGGACATGCATGAGAAAGAATAGCTCTTTCCTAACAACATGATTTTTGGAAGTCAAGTCAGTGGACTTGCCAAATTGAGATTGGGAAACTTATGCCATGAGAGTGACATGCATCATTATAATTATCGTATGACACACAAAACATAACATATTCATATAGCACATAACATATAACACATACTTTCTTTCATATTATTCATTCGTATACCATGAGACCTTATTATCATAGACTTAACTTTAAGACTTTCCAAAATGAGGGCTCAACATATGGGACCTCAACTAGGGAGCCTTCTTTAGCAAACACAGAGTCTGCTTCATTCATTCATTCGTATTTCATTTCAATTCATTCATAGGACAGTGCGAACACCAGCTATACCTAGGATGTAGTTTAAGATTTTCATCGGGTTTGCTGTGCAATGATCAGGAATGACCTAATGTCATTACCTGAATCTAGCTCACCTCTTGATTATCCTATCCTAACACCTTCCGTGTCATTCATTTCTTTATATGATTCATTTGAGGCTGGCCTCATTCATTCATTGGGAACTTTAACTTTAACCGACATAGATCATGTGAGCATCATGAAATCCAGTGTCTTCCCCACACCGAAAAGAGGTGGAATCACCGGCCAAAGCGATTCAATAACATGCTAGCGTATATGGGAATTTAACCCCGCCAGATCCCTATAGTGGCAATATAGGTTCAAAGACTAGGAGATGTATGGAGACCCATACCCGGCAAGCCGGACAGTCTCATCTCATGAGAATTACGTGAACCTCCGCCCTTCCCGAAAGAAGGCATCACCACTCATAGCTAGCCTATCGGTGCTCGGTATAAAGTTCCATTACATTCAACTCATACATCATAGAAGTTTGCTTCTAGTATGAGGACATCATAGCTCAATAGATGATTTCTCATCTCATCATTAGTATTAAGTGTTTTAAACTCAATATTTTTATTAAAGTATTCATAGAGGCTGGTCTCTTCATTATCTCACATTCACATTGGTAAGTACGTATTAGTAACATTTACTTGGGCTCATTTGAGATTGCTCTCATCATATACATTAGCCTCACATCATGGTTGTCACCACATTCTTCATTTCATTACGTATATCTTAGGTCCACTCATTTTTGAACATATGTTAGACTTATGTGTCTATACATACAAGCCATGGGACTTCATTTATAGTTCGTTAAGTGATTCTTATTTTTCTAAGATTATGTATTACAAGACTTATGTATCTTGTATATATGCCAAGATCTTTGATTTTTGATCTAAGTAGATGACATTACTCTTGAATATTTCACTCACGTATGACTTATGTATCAATACGGAGGTTTGGACACGAGAACCCAAATCTTGAATTATTTGGATATCATTTATATTTTTCATTGACTTTAGTTCTAATATTCGTAAATTTAGAACTCTAAATTAAATCTCAACATTTTCGTGACATAATAAATTTTCTATTTTAATTAGAATTCTAAATTAAATTTCAATCATTTACATGAAAGAATAATTTTATAATTTAATTAGAATTCTAATTTAAATCTCAATATTTACATAAAAGAATTAATATTCTATTTTTAATTAAAATTCTAAATTAAATCTCAATGTTTACATGAGAGAATTAATTTTCCAACTTTAATTAGAATTTTAATTTATTATTATTATTATTATTAATTAAATTCGCTTGAATAGGGAGGTTGTGGGTTCGAACCCCCACAACCCCTTACTTTTCCTCTCTTTTTCGCTGAAGAGGAGGCTGTGAGGTGGTGGGTTCGAACCCCCACCGCCCCTCATATTTTTTTTTATACACTGCTACTGTCTTTGAGGTCGTGGGTTCGATTCTCACGCCTCACGTTTTATTTCTTCCCATTTTTCCCTCTCTCGCGCGCACTTGGAGGTCGTGGGTTCGAATCCCACGCCTCCCATTTAATTTACTGAATTAATTCCCTTCCCCTCTTTTCCCCAGGTCGCGTGTTCGATTCCCTTCAGTCCCATTTCTTTTCCTTTTTTCGCGAACTGGGGGTCGGGGGTTCGATTCCCGCCCCCAGCATCTCTTTTTTTTTCTTTTCTTCCTCTTCCAGTACCCGATTTCGAATCCCCCCAGCCCCCCGTTTTTTTTTCTTTTTCTGCGAGTTACTGCAGCCTCACGGGTGAGGTCCCAGGTTCGAATCCTGGCGGCCTCATTCCTTTAAAATTTAATAAATTTCCAGATTTCCTTCATTAAACTTTAGTCTAAATTAAAGTTGCATTGTTTCTGGAATTTTTGGTCATTTTTCAATTCGTTTTTATCAATATTTTCACTTGAATTCCTAAGAAAATTCGTAGACTATTGTAACACATTTTAAGTGCATCTTTTATGGGTTTGTTTGGCTAAAAGATTGTTAATCAATTACTATATACTTCATCATAATGAACATCATCTTGTACATCCATTATACACATCAAATACACAATAAATACAATCATATTACATTAAACTTTTGGAGCATTACATAGAGAACCTCATTCACCGTAACATACTTAATTTCAAGAAAACATGATTTCCATTCATATGATTCCAAGTACACAAACATAATCATATTCATCGCGAAAACATAATATACCTCTAAATCTACCAGCAATCATACCCAACCTAAAATTCATTGGGAGCTAGTGACAAGGACATACAAAAGGGAACAACCCTAGTTTTCGGAATGAATATCTTGAACCTTAAGGGGTCTCTTGGGAAAGGAACCAAGAGAGAAGAAACCCATACCTTAATCGATGTTCAAACTTTAATGTTGCTGTCCGGAAAACTCCTCCAAACCACTCCCAATTCACTTCAAAGTATACCTCTCTCGACGAACCTCTCTTAGCCTTGACGTTTTGATTATTTTTTCTTTTGCTTAAAAATTTTTGTGAGTTCTTCAAGCATGAAAACTGTTGATATTTTGGCAGAAATAATGTGAGGAAGATGGAGAACGTGAGAGAGGGAGTTAAGAAGCGTGAGAGAGAGAGGACTATTTGGATTAGGAAACTAATTCAAGAATTAGTCAAATAACATTTAAAATAAATAAATACAAATCTGTTTTTGATTTATTTATTTATTTATTCATTTAAAACGTGAAAGGACAATTACGCCCTTAAATACTTATTTATTCTTATTTATAAAATTTTATTTTTTTGAATCGTTACAAATTAAGTACATAGAAAACTTCACAACATTACTCTATAACTATTAATCACTATTAGGAATCTTTCTATCACATAGAATAAACCATAACGTACCTCCACTGAAGAACTAAAGTCAAGCAAGCTGATACTCTAATGTTTTTCCTTTCCACAATGTCTCAAAACGTTTCTAATCTATCAAATATACAATATTCTTTAGTAAACGAGCCTGTAGACACTTATATTACTATATATCTAGCCTTAAACAATACTCATTCAGTTCTATAATAAATTTCTAAATCTTAAGGTCAATTAATATATCAAGTCTCATGTTTCATAAATTTCAAGCCTATGATTAAGTTTCAGTTCCTCTAATATCATAAATTCAATGGTATTAATATAATGGAATACAGTTGATATTTAATTATCTATCTCAATAAATCAAAACTTAAATCATAATGTGGTAACTATAAAAATTAAAAAAAAATGAGCCACATATTATAATTGATCGTGACAGTACTATTCCTTCACCACCCCATTTAAACCTCTGCTCCCATTTCATCTATATTCTGAAACTTGTTGAAATTCTGAATTGACTGTATAATGGTAAAAGTTAAAGATTAAAGTACCACTATATAATAATCAAAACATTTTTCTTATCCACTCCATCATCTACTCCTTTCATAGTACCCTATCACTACAAAAAGTATAATGGTAACCTTACAAAAAGTATGATCGAGTAGTTAAAGGTCCATGTCAATATATAGTCACTACCTACTATCTCCCGATAGGTTAGAAGTTAGTCGCCATTGACATGAACCTTTAACCACTCCATTTATGAATTTCATAGTTAAAGAAATAAATATTTTAATGAGACAAAATTTGGAACTTGCTATTCAACACCTTTTCTCCTCGCCGAACTTTTTTTCACAAAAGATTTTTTTAAAAAAAAATAAATAAATTCCTTACTGTGTCTAAAAAAAAAAGAACCAGATATTATTTTTTTATAATAGAATCCTACACCACTCCGTTTAACCCTCCGCTTTCATTTTATTATTTACTCTTTTAAAAATAAATAAAATATTCATTTGTTTAATTATTCTTTTGGGCGTGAAAGAATTGGATTTGCAAAGAGACGTGTACAAACAAATGCCATTACACTAGCGAAATCAATCTACTTCTCATGTGCGACACTTGTGGCCTAAATTTCAGGCTTATGTATCTATCATTATTTATTTATATATACTAGATATAAGTGTTAGTGCTAGTCATAATTTTGTGTCTCACTTTATGTGGCATCGACATAATTTAAAGAGATAAATTTTTATATGATTTTTACATATTTTAAATTGTTAATTAATGTAATTTTCAAATAAAAAAATGTTAAATGGTCAGAAATTTTTAAAATTATAATATTTTGTTTATTTTAAAATAAACAAATTTCTTTTCATTTTTTAGTAAAAGGTATTAAAGCTAAGGGTAAAAGTTATATAGAAAAAATCTCTGGCCAAATTGGTCAAACAGATTTTTTCTTTCAAATAATATATGTTACATTTCTTGTCCCAAAATATATAGCACAAATAGAATTTCAAGAGACAATAGGATTACATAGTTTTCAAATTAAATAATACATGTTATTTCTTTTGTTCCATTTTGTGTTACAGAAATATATCAATGTTCATTGTCAATTATTATGATTTATCGTATTTTATATAATTTTAAAATATATAAAAAAAATTAAAAAATAGACAAATGGTTCAACACTTACATGCATATATATATATATGTATATGATATCTGTTTTGTTTTTTTTTCTCTTTTTTTGTAGAACAGTTATAAAGCAATTTTTTATTTTCTAACTTTTTGCATATAACAATGTTTTGATATAATTTATTTTTTTAAGAGTATAAAACTGAAAGCTCTTAATTCTTATAATCTGTGTCAAAATTTCGTAATTGTAAGCGAGAGTAGTTACGTGAAGTGACATTAACCGAACACTTGCCTCATCCATGATATACAAATAGTTGAAATTTGATTCACAGTTTTGTTAATACGAAATGGCTTTGCATTTGAGCATTGGGTGTTTGTGTTGTTTAAGCCCAATGAGGGGTCAGAAACAGAAAATCAGAGGTGTAGCAGCTGAGAGTAGTGTTAAACTTAACTCAGAAGAAGAAGATAAGGTGAAGCTTGGTGGCTCTGATTTGAAGGTAACTAAGCTTGGAATTGGGGCTTGGTCTTGGGGTGACACAAGCTATTGGAACAACTTCGAATGGGATGGTAACTTCTTTTTTGGTTTCATATCACAAACTTTTTGATAATTTTGGGTAATCGTCATTATCTCATTTATTTATTTACTAGCTTAGTTGGTTGATTATACTCAAAAAAAAAACTTTTTTACACCTTTTTGGTGAGGGTTTGCTTCCGTGCCTTACAATAACAATACTGCAATTGCTAAATCCTGTGAACTGATTCTGTGCTAACTGCTGAGTTTGGGTACACATTTCTTATTTGGTCATGTAAAACTTGACTGTTTAAGATTGCTGCTTGGAATCCATTATTTGATCATTATGGATTTGGGTTAGAATAAGTGAAATTTTTAACACGGATTAAGCCAGAGTTAGTAGGTTCGGAGGAATCGTAACTAAAGTACTACACTATGTCCCTCTTTTCCCTTGCTATCTCTTAGTATTACTCTAATTTTTTATTAGTCAAGGATTTATAAGTTGGTTATTCATTCTGGTAATTTAAGAGAGAATACATACATAGAGAGCTGGGATATTCTTATTTGCTGGTATTGAATATATAGCTAGAAGGGAATGCCCCAAAGCAAAGAAGGAAATTGGATTGAGGCCTAATGCCTAATGGCATCTTTGTGTAATGTTCACAAGCACACGATTGTCATAAATTCACGAAAATCTTAACTGTAGTGAGAACAAAAGTATCCTTGATCCATTGATTCCCTCACATTACATATAGCATTTAACTGAGAGTTTGAAAGAGAAGTCGCTTGTTTGGTCGAACAAAGACAATCGCATGTGTAGGATGAAAAGTAGCTCCATGATAGATGTATCTTTGAAGGATATGTATCTGCATTTGAAGGGTACAAAGAAGAAGACCTTGACCTGCAACAGATAGAGAAGGATATACTCATCGCATAGATGTTTTCTCTTGGATAGTAAAGAGTCCCGAGAAAGTGGAGTTGAGAATATCCTGCAAAGCAGAAAAAATACAACTGTTATTACACTTGTGGACCATGGAATCCTGCAAAGCAGAAAAAACACATCATCTCTTAAGGACCAGGCGCATTCCTACTTATGTTTCCTTTGATAAAATATATTGATATTAGTTACTGTTGCTACTGGAATTACTGCCGTCGTTAGATTTATTTTTCCTTTCTAGTTCCTTGAAGATAGTCAGGAAATGTATAGCTATTTTGGCCTCTAGCTTGTGACAATATCTTCATCATTGTTTTCCCTCAATGTGGATGATGAGGTTGCATTTTCTATAACAGCATAAACATGTTAGAAACAACTGAGTTTACTCCGGGCTATATTAATGTCTAAGAAGCAGTTTTATAAGTTGAAAAAACTAGAGTTGTTTCAGAAAATATAACAAACGTTGAAGCGTATTATTGTGATGTAGTCTTTGAAGGGGATTCTGATGACCCAAACTACACTTCTACTTTAGACTCTGTCGCCAGTTTCCTGCAATTAGTGTAACACTCCAATCCTCCCTTGTGAGTAGTGTCGCGTTCTGTTTATTTAGGATGTCTTCTTCCCTCCTTGTAAAGGATCCTACCATTTCTCTTAAAATGAGTCGTTTTACTAATTCAAATATCACATCTTTCTTTTGTTTCTTGTTAAGTAGCTTACTGAAGACCTGACCTTAGATAGAAAGTTGTGGAGGACACGCATAAGGATACATGGTTAGTAGGTGGGAATGCATTGTCTTGCTGTTTGTCCATACTAGTGCTCATAGTATTACTCTTGTAGTTTCTTGTCCTTCAATTTTTGTTACTATTGTTGTTTCTTGTACTTCAATTATAGTACTGTTCCGCTCTAGTATTGCTATGTTATGATCTTCTGTTGTTGTTTTTTGTTACTATCTTGTTTCTTGTACTTCCATCCTTTCTCTTTCTGGACTGCTTTGGACTGTTTCTCTTGAGTCGAGGGTTTATCAGAAACAAACACTATACATCTGAAGTAGGGATAAAGTCTGCATAGACTCTACCCTCTCCATACCCTACTTTGGGGGATTACACTGTGTTTGTTGTTGCTGTTCATCCAATTTTTTTACTTTTGTTAACAGAGAAATCACCTGAGGCCTGTGGTGCACTGCTAAAAACTCTGTGGATAATGAGCCCACTCTCTACCCTTGACTTAAATATCATGCCCTACTCTTTTACCACTAGACCAAAGCCCCGAGGACTCTTTGTATAAAAAGGTTCTTAAAAAGATTTTCTGGCTTATTGCCTGTTTGGCCAAGATTTTGGAAGGCCAAAAGTGTTTTCTTTTTCCTTTTCAAAAAGTGCTTAGTTTAAAAAACCAAGGTGTTTGAGCATGCTTATGGGAGAAACGAAGTGTTTCTGCGAGCAGTACAAGTTGTTTTACGGAAGCTAAAAAAGTAGTTATTCTCCAAAAGTACTTTTTTGAAAAGCATTTCTATGAAATATACTTAAAGCACTTTTTAGAAGTTTGGTCAAACACTAATTGCTTCTCCAAAAGTGCTTATTAATTTAATTAACCAAACACTAGCTGCTTCTCATCAAACATACTTTTTTTTAAAAGTGCTTTTAAAAATAAGCTGATTCTAGAAGTTTGATCAAACAAGTTATTATTCCATGTTTACTAAGAAAAAAGAGTGCACTTGTATCCTGGCTAACAAGGGAAAGTTTCTCTTTTTTATTTCAAATATTCAAATACAAGTTTGGCTCTATTAGAGCTTGGGCGAGCAACCTTTAAACCAAAGTTTAAAAGAAGGTTAAGGAAAATAATCGAGAAATCTTTACTTTCTGACTGTTATACTTGTTATTCTCTTCTTGCCAACAACCACCGAATATTTCCACTAGGAGAACAGAAAATAGTTTTTCTCAAAGATATTCTATTAGATATGCACCTAAAAAATTAAACATATGTAAGGGCGCGTGCTATAAGGTATGTGATGAAGAAAGGGCTTAATGATAGGTTCTTTCCCTATGGTGCTTAGAGGCTGAAGATATGCTTAGATAACAGTGCCAGCGACCGCAGCGGATTGAAGAACTGTCAGTCAATTAGTCATTACTTGTCAGAAATGCTAAATCTCCAATGCTGTCCAAGCCTGTATGTTTTCTTTAAAACAGAAAAGAAAATAAGCTAAGGTTTTGCATTTTCATAATACGAAAAAATGGACATACAGTGGAACCAAACAGGTTCCTTCTGTTCGGTAACACCAATATCTTGCCTACGGCAAGGCCCAAGAAGAGGCTGGGGTGGTTCGGGTTGGAGTCATGATCAAACATGGTGCTTGCTTGATGGACTTAGTTAAGAAATAAAGTTATGCTTGATCCTACCAAGTGGTATCAGAGTCGAGCAACATGATGCATGAAGCGGGTGTTGGAAGGTCATGCGATCCTAACACCCTCTTTTTTTCTTTTGAAGATAAATGTCAGCCACTCTTTCTCCATTATCATAACCAATATGTTTAACTCTTTTTTTTACTGGAATGATGACAGATAAGAAACTTAAGGCTGCAAAGACTGCTTTTGATGCTAGCATTGATTCTGGAATCACATTCATCGATACTGCTGAGGTTTATGGTTCAAGGGTGAGGAATAGTTTTTTACTTTGGCTATTTCTTAGTCTGCTAAATTGTGCAAAGAAGTGGACAATCACGAGAAAACAACTATTTCCCTCTACTTGCAGTTTTCATTCGGTGCGATAAATTCTGAAACACTACTAGGAAGGTGAGTTTTGAGTTCTTCTAAATCTTCATTATTTTTACTTGTGGACAAAATATTATCAATTTGCATGTTCTTCACATTTGTTGTTTCTCCAATATAATTTAATGTTTTGTTTCAGATTCATCAAGGAAAGAAAAGAAAAAGATCCAGAGGTGGAGGTTGCTGTTGCAACTAAATTTGCTGCATTACCATGGAGGCTTGGTCGTCAAAGTGTCCTAGCGGCCCTAAAAGATTCTCTTGCACGTATGGAACTTTCTTCAGTTGATCTTTATCAACTTCACTGGTACGCTACTTTAGCGCGCTTCTTCGGATAATTTTCTTAAGCAAACAGTCAATAGCTGATACAAGCTTTTATGGTCTAATTCTCAGGCCAGGAATATGGGGAAATGAAGGTTTGTCATGTCTGATGCCCTTGTTCAATTCAACTAATAAGATGCTTTTCTTTAACAAAGATTTAGCTTGTAATTCACATTTAACATAGACAAAGCTTAGTCAATCAGAAAATCCTTTTTTCAGGTTATATTGACGGTTTAGGAGATGCAGTGGAGCAGGGCCTTGTAAAAGCTGTGGGAGTATCTAACTATAGTGGTACACTCGTGACTCGTGTCTAGTCAATCAAATAATTGGACAGTCCTTTTGATGACTAATGTTACTCTCTCCCGCACGATAATATTTCCGATTGTTTTCTTATTAAGGGTATTATGAAAATATGACTGTCAAATTAACTAAGCATTGTCCTCTTTTTCCAAAAATAAAGAATAAAAAATTGCCAGCTACATACAATATTGGGCCGATGGAAGTATTTCTTGTTTCAGAAAAGCGTCTTCGCGATGCATATGAGCAGCTGAAGAGGAGAGGTATTCCACTAGCTTCAAATCAAGTCAATTATAGTCTGATATACAGGTTGCCAGAGCAAAATGGTGTCAAGGCCGCCTGTGATGAATTGGGAGTCACATTGATTGCATATTCACCCATTGCTCAAGGTAAAACCTGATACAACTGCTTTCTTGTGAAGATGTGTTCTAGAATAACCCGATTTATGGCCTCGTTGAACCAGGCATGAAATAAATAGTTAATGAGGTTTATGCTGTTATTGAACATAAATTTGGAAGCTGGTTTCCTACACTTCTGTCACCCCTTTGTATTAATGATTTATGTCATCTCATATGTAAATAATGTTTACTGAAAATGTATATAGACTAGCTAAAGATTCCTCCCTATAGCAACCGTCTACTGTCCCAGTTATTTTTGCTCCAAAGTTTAACTTACAATAACATAGTTAATATTCTTTCCAAACGACCATGCATCGCAGTGAGAAAATTGCTAATGAGCCTAGGTAAAGGGGTTACGGAATACAACCAGTTGGTTTCAGACTTCTGTATCAGTTTTGGACGGAGGAAATGACGGAAACTACACCCCTTCCACTCTCCAGCCATCTTATTGGCGTAGGGAGTCTGTTATAACTCTTATGTCATACCTGTCTTCTCGATTAAATGCAAGGATTCTGCAATGCTTCTTTCATGTACTAGTATGCTATGCAATTTGCTTTAAATAACTTAATGTTGTGCCCTGATAATGACATGTTTCAGCATCTTAATTGCTTTCTGTTTCAAGTTAAAAGTAAGAAAATTAACGTCAACTTTTCTTTGGATTATGCGGCCCAAACTCGTTAAATTTCCCAACTTATAATGCAGGAGCTTTGACTGGAAAATATACTCCAGAAAATCCTCCCACTGGCCCTCGCGGACAGATCTATACTCCTGAAGTTCTTACCAAAGTAAGGGCTTTCACTATATAACTAGAGATTATTAAGAATTTCACTTCTTATGGCTCAAGAACTTTTGCGCACTTGCAGTTGCAGCCACTCATAAATAGAATAAAGGAGATTGGAGATAGCTACAATAAGACTTCAACTCAGGTATATCTTCCTTGTTTCTCGAAAATCTAATGATTTCGCTAGCTTAATTCTTCAGGTGTAGCTTTGTTTGGAATGCAATCATAGTAGAAGCTATAAGTTACTTTGTCGTCATTTAGCATATGTGAGAGTGCAACATGTGATGTGCGGTTTAGGTGCATGTAATCATGAGCTAGTTTGGATCAAGGATTAAAGGGTAGAAATGGATGCACCTATTAGGAAAAAGGGGTATAGATGGACCCATTATTCACTGAAATGATTATATATGATGTTTTGGTTGACAGGTGGTCCTGAATTGGTTGATTGCACAGGAGAATGTTGTTCCCATCCCAGGAGCCAAAAATGCTGAGCAGGCTAAAGAATTTGGTGGTGCGTTGGGTTGGAGACTAACCCAACAAGAAATAGACCAACTTCGTTCATTGGCATCAGAATTAAAACCTGTTACTGGTTTCCCTGTCGAAAAGTTGTAAACATCATTTTACATGTACATTAACAAAGTCTTCGAAATGTAACTAGTACTAATAAAGCTGCTGCTGCTGCAACATCGTAATCCGTGCTCATAAGTGGAGTTTCGAGAAGGTGATATATATATACTAGTTTTCGAAACGTGCTCGCACGTTTGTCCCATACAATTATTATAAAGTTGAATTATTATATAATATTGAAATTAGAAATATTAGTTTTACCTGTTTATATTTTATTCATTAAATAAAATTCATAATAATCGAATAGTACATTGACAATCAAGCAAGAAATATGAAAAAATAATTATATTACTATAGCATCTAATAATATGAATATATCTATATGACTTATTCTTAATAATTTCTCATTACGCTCCATATTAGTAAGTGCACAAATATGTAGCTACTTAAAGAAACTATATTAGTAAGGAAAGATAAAAGTAAATAAATATTATAAAAGTACATTTAAAAACGAATCTAAATGTCATAAATTAGTAATTTCAGCACTAATAAAAATAGACTTATAACATTCATAATTTCATAGAAGATTATATTAAAGAAGTATAATCGGTAAAGAATACAAAAAAATTAAACAGATAAGAATAAATACAACATTCATATCATTCTTAAGACTTTTATTATAACAATATATATAGTAAAAAGAAATACACAAGGAGTAGAGTTTTTTTTTTTCTCGTAACAAAAAAAAAAATCTAAAATGGTAAAGATGAAATTTATGATACAAAATATCACTCTAATGAGGATCAACAAATATTAATAATTCAAAACAAAAAAAAAAGTACCTGAAAATTGCCTAATGATTCAGATCAACACGAGGCAAGTAGTAAAGAAAAATTATTTTTTCATGATTCGTATATATAGCTAAAGAGATTCATTGGATAAGATGAAAAGGTGAAGAATTGTTTAAGTTAATTTTCAGAAGTTAAGTGATCTTAGACATGGGGCAGAGGAAAGGTGATTGTTTTTACTAAGAATTCAACACATTTAATTATACTAACTAAAGAGAGAGGATAACAAATTTAATCATTTAACCACATTAATTGTAGAGAAAGAATAGATAATTTTTATTTTTTTAAAAAAAATAATTTCTAACAATTTCCTATGAAATAATTACTAACAATTTTTTATAAAATATTTTTGTCTTTCAAAGTTTGACTTTACACCTTATTTTTAGTATTTAGTATAATATAATATAATTATTACTTAGTATGTAAATAATTAGAATTTAAACCATTGTGTCTAGATGCATGTATTTAAATATGATTATTTAATATTAAATTAATTATATA